GTTGCCGGAGCCCACGCAGTGCTGTGCTGGGGGTCCCAGGCCCGTGGGGAACAGAGGCTTCTAAAGGGCTGCGGGGTGAGCGAGACACTGGCGGGTGTTTCCACAAGCATCCCCACGGATCCCGCTTTGGATGTCTAGTGTGGGGACACTGTGGAGAACGGGCTCGCGGTTCAAACACTTAGGCCATTGGCCAGCTTCTCCCAATCTGTACCGCCCTCAGCGCCCCCCCACCCCCCTCCTGTGCCAGGTAACAGGACAGCGAACACAGCGCAGGCGCCAGGCACTGAGCTAGGCTCGGAGGCGGCCCCATCCAATGACACGTGTGTCCTCCTTCCCGGAGCTCAGCCTCGGGGAGGAGAGAACAGAGGCAGGAGCGGCCCGCTGGCTGCACACCGCTCAGGGGGCCAGGCGCGGCTCCCGGCCGCGGCATTCACCATCAACCCCAATACCTCGGCCAGGGGGGCACTTGCCTCCTTACCATTAAAATGGGGTAAATAAGTTACAGAGAGTTAAGTAACAAGCCTGAGGTCACGGAACTAGAGAGGTGAAGCCAAGAGGAGATGCAGACCGGGCCAGACTGGCTACAGCCGCTGCGCTGTTCGCAGCTCCCCAGCCGGTGTCGGCCATCCATGCACACAGGCACCGAGTGAGAGCTTCGCTCGCAGGGAGACGGGCACTCGCCCCGTTCAGGGCCGTTCCGAGCTCTCTCTGTATTCTGTCCTCCGTGATTTTGACTGTTATTATTTTGAATCTATACATCAGTTTGAGGAGAATTCACTACAACAGTCTTTCCATCAATGAACATCTTATCTAAGTTTTTAATTTATCTCAAACTCTTAGAGTTGTAAGAATTATTCTTAGGTGCTTTTAAAATTTCTATCTTTTAAAAATATATATTTTTATTGATTTTAGAGAGGAAGGGAGAGGGAGAGAGGGATAGGAACATAAATGACGAGAGAGCGTCACTGATCGGCTGCCTCCTGCACACCCCCTACTGGGGATCGAGCTTGCAACCCAGGCACGTGCCCTGACTGGGAATCGAACGGTGACCTCCTGGTTCACAGGTTGGTGCTCAACCACTGAGCCATGCCAACTGGGCTAAAATTTGTATCTTAAGGATCATTTTAAAATACATTTCCTGTCTTTGTTGCTAAGTAGCTAGAAATACAATTAATTTTCTATTGATTTTTAGGGAGTAAGGAGATTTCATTTCACTCAAATGATTGATATATAGATTCGTGTTTTCTGCACACAACCACTTCCTGAAGACGACTGGTTTCTTCCCCCATCCTCACTGTGTATATGTGTGTCTGATCGCCCAGGGCCTTCCGTGTAACGTGGACCAGAGGCAGGGGTAGCTGGCACCCCAGTCTGGTTTCTGGCTCTGAGTTGTTTGCAGATATTCCTCATCAATCTGAATCATGTCCCTTTTGTTCTTACACTGCCGACATCGACTGCTGTTCTTCCATCTGCAAACTCCAAATTCGGTGTTCGAGCCCGAACGCCCAGTGCGTCAGAAGGTGATGGTGGGTGGAGACGGGCCTTTGAGGAGGAAGGTGTGTTAAAAGGAGGCTGTGCGGTGGGCTCTGACCCAAGCTGACTGGGGCCCTGATACGAGGAGGAGGTTGGACGTGAGCAGAGGAAAGAGCACTTGGTGCTCGAGGACACGGAGGAGGCAGCCCTGACTCTGCAGTAGGTTAAGGTTGGAGTTTTTGTTTCTGGAATGTTTGGTGGGGCCATTGATGGTAAACCTACCTGTGTGAAGCCACTGCGGGAAGGATTTACATCGCTGTTCCTTTAATCATTATGCATCTTTTTCACTCACTGTCCTGGCCACTGTGGTCCTTCTGTCTGGCTGGCATCCTCGGGCTGGGGGCGCTGGCTGGCATCCTCTGATGTGCTTCCCACTGCCCGTGTTTGTCTTCGTCTTGAATCATCTACTTGGGTCTTAGACCTCCAGGGCCCTATTTTAATTGTCTTTGTTCAACTGCTTCTCATGGATTTGTTTGGCTGGTTTCCTCAGCTTTCTTCCAGCTCCACGAAATTCACGCTCGGCCTTGACCCTGTACCTGGTGTCCCTGGCCATGCCCGCTCCGGTCTGACCCCAGGAGTTAACGTTCCGGATCTTCCTGCAGGGCCAGTGGGGTGCTGACTGGCTGGCAGGGGGCAGCTCGGTGGGCTCACATGTGCCTTTGAAAGTCTCACAGCCGGTTTGTTCTCCCACAAACAGTCTCTCCCAGTTCAGAGGGTGGGCCTCGTGCTCCTGAGCTGATGGAGCTGCAGCGGGAATCAGCTTGCTTTTTTTTTTTTTTTTTTTTAAATATATTTTATTGATCTTTTACAGAGAGGAAGGGAGAGAGATAGAGAGTTAGAAACATCGATGAGAGAGAAACATCGATCAGCCGCCTCCTGCACATCTCCTACTGGGGATGTGCCCACAACCCAGGTACATGCCCTTGACCGGAATCGAACCCGGGACCCTTCAGGTCGCAGGCCGACGCTCTATCACGAGCAAAAACCGGGTCAGAGCGAGAGGCTGGGGGGAAAAAGAAAGCGTCACGCAAGGAGGGAGTGGGGGGGAGGGCTGAGGAGGGACGGAGGGAGGGAGGGAGGGAGGAGGGAGGGGCGTGGAGGAGGAGGAAGAAGGACTTAAGATGTGAATGACAGAAGAAGGAAGGAAGTAATGGGACGGATTCATGCAGGAAGGAAGGAGGATGTAAGACGAAGGACTTGAACTGACGGTAAGCTAGATTTACGTTGTTGGGGAGGTCGTGGTTGGGAGCGGTGAGGTATGGCTTTCTGTATGTAGGGACTCTCTAGCGATCGATCTCTATCGCTGGGCTCTTCTTCTCATCTATATATCTTCTTTTTCCTTCTTCCTTCCTTCCTTCCTTCCTTCCTTCCTTCCTTCCCTCCCTCCCTCCCTCCCTCCCTCCCCTCCCCTCCCCTCCCCTCCCCTCCCCTTCCCTTCCCTTCCTTCCAAGGGGGGGAGGGAGAGAGGCAGAGACTAGGTTGCCCATGCTTTGTGTCCTTGGTGTGTGGCACAGTGCCTAGCATAAAGTAGGTATCAATACACATTCATCAAATAAAAGAGGAATTGAGCCATTAAAAAAAAGAGAGAGACAAAATGTAGAAAAGCAAGCAAGACTTTATTGACCACAGCAAAAGTTACTGAGGACAACGAAATAGGGAGAGCCTAGAAGAAGCCACAGGAGAGCCCAGGCCGGCTGCTGGCTCACTGGGAAGTCGAGAACAGGAGGCCTGGGGGACAGGCTCAGGGCTTAGCCAGGACGAGCTGCCGCTGCCCATGGCTCCCCTGGTGGCAAATCTCCTGGAGGTTAGCAGATGCCTGCCTGAGGGGAGGGGAGGGAGGGATGGCACTGAGTGCTCCTAGGAGGGGGAGCACCTGCCACCTGCCTTTTCAGGGCTTTAAAAGGCTGGGCGTTTAGGGGAGGTCTTAGTGGTGAATCAGGAGACTATTTTTTCATCAGTTTTTTGCTGATGTGCCAAAATGAGATTTATTCTCTTACTTTGCCTGTCCCAGGGTGTGGCTGGCAAATGGCACTGAATGGATTTCTGTTATCGTCTGCCTAAATTGGGTGATTTAAGCGATCTGCCCTCTGGTTGGGAGAAGTACAAACCATTTACTCCAGCCTGCTTGGCCTAGGGCAGGGGTGGGCAACCCCGGCACGCATGCCAAACATGGCACGCCAGTAACTTTTGCTGGCAAGCGAAACCCTCTCTTATAATCTTCCATTTACAATCTTTTTCTTAATATCGACTTTTTTATTTTTCAGATAAATTCAGTGTAGGTGCATCTTAGATAAATAAGTAATTTTACATAACAAGTTATCTTAAAGACCATAGACATGGATTGATGAGAGAGGGGAAGAGCAATTTCTATGCCTCTGCCTTAACTCTCCCTGCCTTCCTAGATCTGACCAGTGTTTTGGTTTCATCCGCACACGCTTGTGAGTCTTTGTTCTCAGTGATGAATTTTCTTAAGTCTCGTAACAGGAGTAGCCTGACGGATGGAAGCAGTAGCTCCTGCATATCTCTGAAGGTCACGAAATAGAAACCTGATGTCAAATCTCTGTCATCAGTGATGCAGCAGCAAAAGTCCCACTGATAATACCAACGGAGTCATAAAGTTTTTTGTCGGACTATCAGTGTACATGTATACATTAAAAAATAAATTAAAAAATAAATGCATTTTTCATCATCATAGACTGTTTTTGTCGCTCGAATGAATTTTATTATTTTTTCAAGGTTCTTCACATACGTACACCTTAAGAGATATGAAGTAGGCGTAACATGTTCTCAAAAAATTAGGGTTGGCACGCAGAAGAGTTTTGAGTCAGAGATTTTGCTGGTTTTGGCACGCACTCACAAAAAGGTTGCCCACCCCTGGCCTAGGGAGATAGGATTTACTAGGTGGCTGCAGACTGCTGTTCCGCTCGTCCTGGAATCTTCCTGGCTCTTTCTGTTCTATAACAATCTGACCGGAGGGGGCCTCCATGCACCCCCAGACACATCGGCTGGCGCCCCTGCCTGGGTAGCCTCCCACCCAGGAGGCGGCGTCCTCAGGAGGGCTCCTTCGGACAGTCCCAGCTGGGCTCAGCCAGATCTGGCGGGAATCGCTGGGACGAGGGGCTCCCCGGGAGCTGGCTCCCCTAGGGGGTGGCAGGGGACACCAGCAGCGCGGCCTGGAGCCCAGCTGGCGCCCCTCTCCGCCAGGAGGAAGCTATGGAAGCGCGCAGCCCCGTGACCGATTTTCCGCCTGCACCGCCCGCCCTTCCGCCTGCACCGCCCCAGCTCCCGCCCCGCCCCGCCCCTCGCCCCTCGCCCCGCCCCGCGCCCCGCCCTCCCGCGGGAACCTGGGCCGGCCTCGCCCGCGCTTCCCAGCAGAGGCCTGCCTTTTATAGACGCCGCAGCCAATCAGCGCGCGGCGTCCCCGAGGCCCGCCCCCCGCCCCCCGGCCAATCGCCGCGCCCCGGGTGCCTCGGCTGCTCGGCGGCGCTCGGCACTTTCCGCGTCGCTGCTTTGCAGGGGCTGCTCCTCGCAGCCCAGTCGCTCTTTTTTCCGGGTTTGGAGCCGATCCGGATGCTGAGGGCGCCGGGTGCCTGGTCTCCGCGGACCTGAGGGCTTCTGTACATGGATTATCTGGTAGGTGCGGTGCGGGGCCGGGGCGGGGGCGGGGCCGGGGGCGCCCCGCGGACCGGCGCGCGGGGTCCCCGCCTGGGACAGCCCCGCTCGTTCCCGGGGTGCGCTGCCGGGGGGCCCTCTCGCGCCGCGGCCCGGCCCGGGGGCTGCGCGGGGCTGGCGCTCGGGGCGGAGCTGACAGGTGAGGCCGCGGGGCGGGGGCGCAGGGCCGCCGCGTCCCCTCCGCGCTCGGGCGGCGCGACTCCAGGTCCCATTAAACAGCCATCACCCGAATGGCTCCCTAAGTGCCCGGCGGCCGCTCATTTGCTGCGATTAGATCTCCAAAGCGGTGACCCGGGTCGCGGCGAGGCTTTAAAAGCGCATAAAGCCGCCGGGCCGGCCCTCCCGCCGGTGCGCGCCGCTCACCTGTGCGCCCCGCCGAGCGCCTAGGCCGGGCTGCGCCCCGAAGCGCAGGTGGGAGGGGGCCGCGCCGCGCCGCGCCGGCGTAACAATGGACCCGGCTGTGTGTGCGGGGTCCTGCGGGCACCTCGCACGGTTCCCGAACCCAGACCTCCCCGAGCTGCAGGTTTGGGCTCCAGCGTTCGGGTGGCCCGGGGCCGGGTTTGGTCCTCTGAGGTCGCCAGGCGTTTGCCCTGGTAGCGGAACCCCGTGGCCCTGCGAGTTAACGAAGGTGGGCGGACGCCGTGACCGCCTGTCACCCGGTGGGACGAGTGCAGTCGCCTGTGCATCGCCGATGGGCCTGGCAGAGGCCGGCCGCGCCTTCTAGGAACGAGGCTGGTGCCGCGCTGACAAAGGCCGGGAGGGATGCTGTCTGGCCCGGGGACGCTGGGCGCCGGGGGCTGGTGATGGCGCCTTGGCTGTGGCTCCATCCAGTGAAGGAGATGGATGCGTCCCGCCAGCCTCACGCCCCCAGAGCTGTGGGAAGCCGGCAGTTCGTGGAGAGAGGAAAACATTCTGGATTCAGATTCTGTTTGTTGTTCCTGTGCTGATGCCAGCAGCTCCCTCTGTCTTGGTCTAGAGGGACTTTGCCGCCTGCCCCCGGAGCTGGTGAAGGGGTTTATCTGACTGTGCCCTGCTCTTCATTGCTGGGTGAGTTACAGTTCCAAATTGCTCCACGAACCTGTCTTGGAGGTGTCCAACCCACCAAAGCATTTGGTGAGCAAAGAAAGAGAAAACTTTGGTTGTCGGCCGGGGTGACTCGGTGGTTGAGCGTCTACCTGTGAACCAGGTTGCGGGCTTGATCCCCGATGTGAGGGATGCAGGAGGCGGCCGGTCAGTGATTCTCTCTCATCGTTGATGTTTCCCTCTCTCTCCCTTCCTCTCTGAAATCAATAAAAATATATTTTAAAAAAGATTTCAGTCTTTAAAAAACACACAAAAACATGAAGGCCGCCGAAACCGTACTGAAAAAGCAAAACCACCCTTTGGGGCTGGTGCTTGTGTTTACGTCCTCAGAGAAAGGGTGTGCTCCCTCCTGCCGTCAGTGACCGTCTCACAGACGGAATTTATATGGCGTCCAGTTACAAGCCAGCTCCCGAAGAATGAAGGCCGGTGTTGTTGACTGTGTCGGGGATCTTGTTTTCCAAATTCATCGGGCCCCAGGTTCCTTTACCATCTTCCAGGGAAACATTGCTTCTCTTATCCCGAGTCCGAGCCTTGAGGGTTTGCTGAGCGCGTGGGCCAGCGCCAGCACCGTGTCTGCGCGCAGACACGAATAATGTGTGTGCCATCTTCACTTTTCTTTTTCTTTTTATTATTATTATTATTTTTTAATGCCCTTGACCGGAATCGAACCTGGGACCCTTGAGTCTGCAAGCTGACGCTCTATCCAGTGAGCCAAACTGGTTAGGGCCACTTTTCTTTTTAGTAGATGTTTGATTTTCTTTTAAAAAAAAAAGCCTATTTTCTTAAATGATTTTTTTTTTTTCAGAGAGAGAGGAAGGGAGAGGGGGGGAGAGAGAGAGAACCATCAGTTGGCTGCCTGCTGCTGGGATGGAGCCTGCAGCCCCGACCGGGAATCGAACCAGCGACCTTTCAGGGCCTGGGATGATGCTCCAACCACGGAGCTTCCAGCCAGAGTGTGCGAGTGACTTCCTGCTTCTGCTGGAAGCTGGAGGGGGAGCTGTGCGTGTGCTGCCCATTGTGTGTGGGACTGGATGTCACCGCTTAACCTTTCGTATCTGGAGGAGAGTGGGAAGGAGGAGAAAAGAGAGGAAGATAGAAGTGCTATTTTTAATCGTTTTTAATAAGATTGCGGATGTGAAAACAGAGGATGACGCACTCTGATTTTAGAAGTTGCTTTTGATTTCCTAACTTCAAGGAATGTTCTGAGTTAGAGGGACAGGGCTAGTGCCTTAATATTTAGGACCCGGTTTTTGTTGGTGTCAGTGCCAGGGAACAGCGGGGGTTTGCGGGTCCCAGGTAAAGTGTGTCCCCCAGTGCCCTGTTCGGTTGCTGGGTGAACGGGTGCGAGGCACGGGCACCTTCCTCGCCAGCTGCTCGCGGGAGGCGCGATAGCATCTGTTTGGATTCGGTGTTTTGTTCCGGGGAATGCAGCATGTAGCCGTTTCTCTCCACTGACGATGATCAAGATAGGATTTGCGTAGCCCGGGCGGCGATGTAAACAGGAAGATCTCCGTTTTCCAGGCGATGAGGGCTCAGCCCGGGAGGCCAGGCACCTGCCTCCCGTGTTCACGACGGGCTTTGAGGCCGGGGCGTTCGTACCTGTCGCGTCTGTGGGTAAAGATGTTGCCGCCGTTCCCACAGGTGGTACCGGCCTCCTTCTCTCCTGACAAGCAGGCCGAGTGAGGCGATGGCGAATGAGGCGGGAGAAGACAGCGGGTCACCGAGAGAGAGAGAGAGAGAGAGAGAGAGAGAGAGAGAGAGAGAGAGAGAGAGAGAGAGACACGCCCGCCCGTTTCCCCGGGGACTGGACGGGGCCAACATCCAGATCCCTCCCCTTTTGAGTTTTCCTTTGTCGCGGCTCACGCATGTCATTGGTCTGGATGTCACCTGTTTCCCCGTCTGCCCCCAGAACAGCAGCAAGGAAAGGTGTCGGGGTTTCGGATGCCTGTCGTGATTGGATGGGGTGATGGAGGGAAAGGAACGTAGACACAGCACGCTGTTTTTCAGATGTGAGACGGGATGCGCCCCCCGTGAGGGCATTGCTGACACTGTCCCCTGCTGCGGAGTGGCTGCTACTGCTCGGGGTGAACACTGGGCCGCCTTTTACACCAGAGGCGGGCGCTCATCAGTAAGCAGGAAGTCGCAGGGCTCCTGTGGACTGTGTACTGCCTACGGAGATAAAGCCGCATTCTGATCTTATTAATCCACTCAGCAAGTCTTCATGGGACCCCTGCTTCGTGCATGGCCCTGACAGTCACGAGGGATGAGCGCCCGACGGGGTGACCGTGGCTGTGGGGCTGTGGGGCGTGCTCTCCAGGGACAGGTTGGATAAGGCAGGGGTGGGGGGGCGGGCAGTGAGCCCGCTTGTGCTGCCCCTGGGCCTTCTGGTGGGGTTCTCTCTACTTCATCGGTCCCGTTGTCTTACTGTGAACTTGGATGCAGAGGGAGACTTGGAAATGTGACCGCCCACTGCGTGGTTCGTCTCGGATGCTCGTTGTCAGTGAGTGGTCACTGCACTTGGACGTCGTGCCTGGGATCAGTGGGGTCTGGGTTCTAGCTTTCTTCCTGGTGTAGGTTGGCGAGCCCGGCCTAGGTGCTCGGTCACAGGCAGGACCTGGCATCACATAGAAAAACTGACGTGTGAGGGGGAAGTTCAACGGCCAGAAGGTGGTTCAAATCCATCACCACTTGCAGGATGAAAACCAACCAACCAGCCAGCCACCAACCAGCCCAGAGGAGAGCTTGGTGATGGTCCCACAGAGGGACCGGGCGCAGAGGAGCAGGCTGTCCGTCAGCCCGCCTGCAAGGACCCGGGGAGGCACACGTGTGATTCCTCTGCTGTCCACCCGTCTCAAACATGTGCTGTTTTTAGCTCCGAGGGACTGTGAATGTGCCTGGGTGTGTGTTCCCACTGTGGTCACCTTGACTGTAAGATAACAGCACAGGCCAAACACGTGCTAGTTTTAACCAGATTAGTCAGAGTCACTTAAATATTCTTCTGTTAATAAATAATAAGGTAAAAACAATGGGAACGCAGTCAGCAGACCTCCCACCGGCGGTTCTCATAGCGAAAGGCTTTCGGAGCATCCACGCCATTGGGCAGGGGCCTGGATGAAGGGTGTTAGCTCGGTTCTCTGGCTTGGGTCCCTCCAGTCTTTTTTTTATTACAAAATGTTTTTTTAAATTGATTTTTTGAGTTTTTTGAGAGAGGAAGGGAGCGAGAGAAAGAGAAATATCACTTTGTTGTTTCACTTTTTAAAAAACCTCACCCAAGGCTATGTCTTTATTGATTTTACAGAGAGAGAAGAAGGAGAGAGAGAGAGAGAGAGAGAGAGAGAGAGAGAGAGAGAGAGAGAGGGGAACATCGAATGGTTGCCTCCCTTACGCACCCTAACCAGGGCTGGAACCCACTACCTGGGCGTGTGCCCTGCCTGGGAATCGAACTCGAGACCCTTCAGTTTACAGGATGACGCTCTAACCAACCGAGCCACATAGACCACGGCGGCCACTCATTCCTGCACTCATTGGTGGTTTCTTGTACGTGCCCTGACCCCGGATGGAGCCCGCAACCTTGACATACCCTGGAGAGTGTGTCAGGCGAGGACACGCAGGACATGGTTCGTGCCTCTAGGAGCCTGCGTGGTGAAGGGCGCCCAGCCATGTGCGGGCTGCCTGCGGGTGGGGTGCGGAGCGTAGAGCTTTGGGGGTGAAATCAGTGAACCCTGCTGTGTGCCGGACACTGTGGTGTTCTCCAAGGCCCCGGGAGGCCTGTCACCCCCAGGCTCACAGGACTGACAGGTGGCGCTGGGCTTGTGGCCCCAGGCCCCCTCTCCTCCTCCCCCCACTGGTGTTCAAGCCGATGGGATGCGGGTGAAATG